TTACTGCATCAGTGGTTACCAATATCAGTCAATTAATAATTCTGCCAGTCGATTCACTTTAGATGCTTTATTGGCCTAAATATTGATTATTCCTAGCTACTAGACTTGGCCAATAAATTATGGGGTATTTCCGCTAGTTGATCCACTTCAGACAGGATACTGTTGAGAACAACTTGAGTAAAAGTGAATGATGACAGGTAATTTTTGCGTTGAATACCTAATACAGCATGCCATGGCTTCTAGCTTCTCACCTGTGCCTTTGTGTCCATTTCATTTCAGGCCCCCAGGGAAATGCTTGCCCAGTGTGTACTAGCAGAGTTACCCCAACAAGTCACAACCTACTTCAGATATATAAACCTGTCACCTCCGAACGAGCCAAAACATTCATAGACATGTAGGGCTCTCTTCTTTATCTGCACCTGACCAATGCCATGCTCATGTCTATATGTTTTACCTCTTATCAATGCATTCTGCTGTCAGATAGGATGTTGCTTTTTGTTAAGACTACATCGACCTACTAAAAGCTGGTCTAAAGACGGTGAATAGTTTTTTATTTGTTTTTTAAAGAGCATGTTAGTGATGAGCATCTATAGGTGTCCGCAACATGCATACACATTGCTTATTACACACACACAGGGATGCACAGCAGCACACAAGCATCTTTAAATATGAAAAAAATAAATGTAAAAGATTATTATTGTTTACATAAATTTGAAAACTGCCTACATGTCATAATGGATAATTATTGCATGTGTCAAAATTAGCCCACCTACCTATTTAAAGAGAGAATGAGATCAAAATTAGAATTGCCGATCCATTTCCTCAATATTAAAGCATTCTGTTTTTTACAAAGTCCACCATGTGATTAGTGAATCCACAATGGCACGACTGAAACTCGCTCTAAAAAGGAATGGAATGAAAGGATGAGAATCTGATTGGTTTAATGCAGGTTACACCCAGAACACACCCTTAAGTCATTAAGAGAATAAGGACAGCCCTTTTAGACCATGCACCTTGCACATTGCCCATTTCTCCAGTGCTTAAAATAGCAAAAGTGAATTGTTCGATTCTTAAATAGATTAGGTTAGTGCTTGGATTGGTAAAATCGAGTGCCTGATGTTTGTATATGTATATAATGACCAGTGGTGGAAAGAGTACTGAAAAGTCATACTCGAGTAGAAGTACCATTACTTGCCTAAAAATGTAGTGCAGTAGAGTAAAAGTATCTGTTGTAAATATTACTATTTAAAGTATGAGTAAAAACCCTTACCCTAACACTAGACCTTTCAAAAGTACTCAAGAGTAGTGAGTACAATGCAAAAGCTGATGCATTTACATGTAGTTTGTGGATGTGTGTGTAAACGTAACATTCTGTAGTGCATTTAGCTATTGCTCAGCAGGCACACGGCGTCATAAGATGCTAATACTAGGTTAGATTTTGGTCGTGATGTCAGGTGACCAAAATTCAATGTCTAGCCAGCGTCTAATGACAGAGTTATTTTGATGACCAATAATGACGTCAAATGATATTGATATTTGGTTGATTTTAGGTTGTGTTTGAAAGTAACCAAAGTTCAGCATCGAGGCAACATCTTAAACCAACGCCATATTGACGTTAAATACTGACATTTATTCATCAGGTATGGCAACCAAAATCCAACGTCTGAAAAATGTCATAGTGTTAACGTCCACACAACGCCAAGCTGTGACATCATTAGATGTTGATATTTGGTTGATTTTAGGTTGGACTTTGGACATTGATGTTGACCTGACGTTAAGTTCTGATGTCAACCCGATTTTTTTTGTTCCAAACAGTGTAACGTCCCCACGACGTTGGGGTACAACGTCGATCTGATGTCATGTTGATGTCTTGTGCCTGCTGGGTGTTTAAGGCCATTTCGGTCATCATACAGTAAACATCCATCATCTTCTCATCAGTGACATGCATCTAAACCAGTGGTCACCAAACTTGTTCCTGGAGGGCCGGTGTCCTGCAGATTTTAGCTCCAACCCTAATCAAACACACCTGAACAAGCTAATCAAGGTCTTACTAGGTATACTTGAAACATCCAGACAGGTGTGTTGAGGCAAGATGGAGCTAAACCCTGCAGGGACACTGGCCCTCCAGGACCAGGATTGGTGACCCCTGATCTAAACAGTCTCTGGGTCAGTGGGTGTAAAGATTTTGGACGTCTTCTTGGACACTATTAATGCTTCCAAACAGTTTGCTGCAATTATAAATCCCCCATGTCTTAAGGTAGATCATTATGATGTGATTTCCCTTCTATGTGCGATTTGATTGGACGGGAATCACAGGACTGATTTTTCTAATCCCCATAGACATGAAGAAATAAAGTAGTGACTGCAGGTTGAAGGAAAGTAGTGGTGTGAAAGTACCAATTGTGCACTAAAAATGAAGTCAAGGGAAAGTAAAAGTACACATTTTTAAAACAACTTTTGAAAATTACAATTCCTGAGATAAACTACTCAATACCGTAATTTGAGTATTTGAAATTTGCATAACAACTCATACATAATTATTATAGTCTTAAATGCAGTGGTTTTATTGGCTGTTGTGCTTGCTGACTTAATCAAACTGTGCATGCTGACACTATCAAATTTCACACATTTCATTTAAAAATATTTTTGGCTCATACATGCATCATGTTTGAATAACAGCTTAAGCTTCATGTCGTCTGCACAATTGTCTCCTAAACAACATGTATCTTAACCTCTCTCACCGTCCCTGAACATAATCTACTGCATAAAGCCAAACAACGCAATAACTGACATTTTCTCCTCTCTTTAAAGTCTCCAAAGGAGGAACTTGCCAAATGTGTCCTGGCAGAGGTTCCTGGTCAGGTCGTTACCTTCTTCAACATGATGAAGTATCCCCCTCCTAACTCAAACACTCCAGTGGATGCTTCAAATGGGGTGAAAAACTGACCGGCCCAATTCCATGCTTCATACCGCATGCAACTGGACGACAAGTGTAGACTTTCTTAAAGAGGTAGACCACTAGACGAATTAGGTTTGGTTTTAGAGCATTATATATTTATTTACATGATTTCATGTGCCAAATGACCATGGAACATTCTATTACGGATTTCGTTTGGACTTAAGAGCCACTAAAAGAAGACAAGCTAGATCAGGGGGGTCCGAACTCGGTCCTGGAGAACCGGTGTCCTGCATAGTTTTGCTCCAACTTCCTTCAACACACCTGCCTGAAAGTTTCTAGTAGACCTAGAAAGAGCTTGATTAGCTAGTTCAGGTGTGTTTAATTGGGGTTGGCAATAAAATATGCAGGACACCCGCCCTCCAGGACCGAGTGTGGACACCTCTGCCCTAGACAAAAGAATAGAAAGGAAATCATGTTAATGTTGCAGGTGAGATCTATTGAATAGTATGAAGGCATTTTAAAATGATGGTGAGTTTCATTCCTTTTTACAAAATTGTTTACAGTTAGCATGATTTAGAAACTTCATTTTTCATGTCAGTATCATAACACGTTCCTTTAGACCATTTTTTATTTCTATAAATATGATTTTTTAAAATCAGTGCCTCATAAAGCTATATTGACATGTCACATTTATGCAGTAATGTGCCTTATTGTTTAAGTAGCATTTTCTGTATATAAACCTGTGCCTATATATGTTTGATTTAAATTTATGGAGAATCAATTGGCAGCTTTTTACATGCCAATTTTTTATGTTTGACCACATATACCTGCGATAACTAAGGAATGGTGCTGCTCAGATGTCAATTTGTATGTATAAATCAACGCCATAGTAGAGACTGACGTCTGGTTGGTTAGTGTTCCTGAGTTGTGCCTAAATATGGTAATAGTAATCATAATACTCAATCAGTATTGAATGTTCAGAGATGCACAAAGAAATTTTATTTGGTCACCATACCAGCCTATTTTACTGGTTATAGGAATATAATAGATGATCTCAACTACATTTAAATTGCAGCTATTTTTCTATTATTTTCATTAGACATCTTTGTGTTGGCATGGTTACATATTAATGTAATGTCTTTAACTCGTCATTGTTTTGCTGATGTACAGCCTGTAGCATGCCTTGTTTCCTGTACAGTAAATAAATCACCAAAACGAAGCGTTGATTATTGAAGACTGATTGAATAATGATGACAAAAGGAGATGGTGTGTACTGTATGTTTATTTTCATGAAAAACATTGACGTATTTACAGCATACAAAGGCCAGAAAACTCATTCATCAAGATGCTGCTAGAATATAATAGCTTAATGTAAATTATAAAACAAGGTAAAATGTGCAAAATGAAGTTTCTCTCAGTCAGTTTCATTCACATTTCTGTAGATCTGAGTCAGATAGATAGATAGATGATGGATAGATAGATAAAAGAATGTCATTGATGGATGGTGTAATGGATGGATGGATGGATGAAATGAAAGGATGGAAAAATAAATGTTATTCATAGATGGAAGGATAAAAAAATATCATAATTACTGGGTATTATGGGTGAATAATGTAGTTGATAGGTAGACGGAGGATGAAATGGATCGGATGGATGGATGGAAGATGTCATGTATGGTATATAAAATGAAGTGAAGGACTGATGGATGATATGGATGGATGAAAGCATAGACAGACAGACAGAGAGATAGATAGACAGATAGATAGATAGATAGACAGATAGATAGACAGACAGACAGACAGACAGACAGATAGATAGATAGATGGATGGATGGATGGATGGATGGATGGATGGATGGATGGATGGATGGATGGATGGATGAATTTACAGTACTTAGTAGATGGATGGATGGATAAAATGGATGGATGGATGAATTTATTTAGTAGATGGATAGATAGATAGATAGATAGATAGATAGATAGATAGATAGATAGATAGATAGATAGATAGATAGATAGATAGATAGATAGATAGATAGATAGATAGATAGATAGATAGATAGATAGATAGATGGATGGATGGATTGATGTATGGATGGATTGATGTATGGATATATAGATAGAGCAATTGATGGATTATGTAATGGTGGATGGATGGACTGGCAGATGAATGGACTGATAGATCTCTTAATTCTTTTTTTCCGCTGCTTGAGCCTGCAGGATAGAGAAAGGGCATTACTTCAGATCTCTTCATTGCTGTTTTAATTTGTTCAAAGTTGCCACAGTCCAAACCTGCAGCCAATCCACAGGCAGACCCATCCTGCTTTACCATTAAACCCCTGAACAGATCAACACACACCTTCAGCTTGTCCAGCAAACCTCCTTTCCCGAATCCTCCAAAAGCACGCAACATTTTGGGAGTGGGAGGTTTGGGTCCAAACAAAGCCAATCCCTTCTTCTTCTCTCCTTCATCCTTTGTAGGAGCAGCTTTGCCTTTGGCCTTCATCAGTTTCCTGAGGAGCATCAATCAGCCATTATTGTAGACTCAGCACAATAAAATAAGTTCTTGAATGGTTCTAGTTGACCTCACCGTCCTTTCTTGGCCAGGACTTTTTGAGACTCTGGGTAATGGATCAGGATGTCATTAAGATCTTTCTTATCCAGCACGAAGAGGTTGGCAAATCCATGAGCAGCAACGTTTGCTGTTCTTCTGTTTCCGCCATCTTTTGCCGACTGTAAGAGACTGAAAAAAAGACAGTTCTGTTGTTGTAGTGCCATGCTTGTGGGCAATTTATCATTGACATTATTGTTAAATAGAAAATAAAAAAGATAGATGGATAGAACGATAGATGGATAAAATGATAGATGGATAGAAAGGTGGATGATGATGGATTTATTAAAAAAAGAGATAGATAGATAGATAGATAGATAGATAGATAGATAGATAGATAGATAGATAGATAGATAGATAGATAGATAGATAGATAGATAGATAGATAGATAGATAGATAGATAGATAGATAGATAGATAGATAGATTGAACGATAGATTGAACGATAGATGATGGATGGATTTATTAAGAAAAAGTATACATGGATGGATGGATGGTTTTATTGATAGATAGATAGATAGATAGATAGATAGATAGATAGATAGATAGATAGATAGATAGATAGATAGATGGATGGATGGATGGATGGATGGATGGATGGATGGATGGATGGATGAATTTACTTAGTAGATGGATGGATGGATGGATGGATAAAATGGATGGATGGATGAATTTATTAAATAGATAGATAGATAGATAGATAGATAGATAGATAGATAGATAGATTGAACGATAGATTGAACGATAGATTGAACGATAGATTGAACGATAGATGATGGATGGATTTATTAAGAAAAAGTATACATGGATGGATGGATGGTTTTATTGATAGATAGATAGATAGATAGATAGATAGATAGATAGATAGATAGATAGATAGATAGATAGATAGATAGATAGATAGATAGATAGATAGATAGATAGATAGATAGATAGATAGATAGATGGATGGATGGATAAAATGGATGGATGGATGAATTTATTAAGTAGATAGATAGATAGATAGATAGATAGACAGACAGACAGACAGACAGACAGACAGACAGACAGACAGACAGTGGATGCTGGATGGACATTAAGAAAAAAGATAGACAGATGATAGATGGAGAGAATGGTAGTTAATATGGATGGATATATTAAGATGGATGGATGGATAGATGGATGGATGATGGCTGGATTTATTCAGAACAAAGAGACAGATGGATGGATTTATTAAGGAAATAAGCAGTTGTATAATTCACATGACTGTTCACAAATGTGAGATTCTCTGTCCAGTACCTGATCTCCCCGAACACACAGCCTGCTTTCAGAGTCACAAACACAATCTTGTTATCCGGTCCACCGATGACCTGCACTTCTCCAGCCTTGATGATGTACATTTCTCTCCCAATGTCTCCCTGTGTGAAGCCATGGAACAGTTGCTCATGGTAATTGTTTGAATCTTTGTTTTATCATGATTATTTCTGATGTTTCTAACCTTCTTGCACACAAAGTCTCCAGGCAGGTACACAATAGATTTCAGACGCAGTAACATGTCCACAAGCATCTGGTTGTCACAACCCTAGAAAAATAAAATAAAAGGGTTTAGAGTTTCAGATTTCACATATTTTTGTTTTCTCAGACATCTCAGGCCATGTCTTGCATCTTGGAAAAATGACTTTAATTGACTCTAAGAATTCAGAATTTCAGTTTTAGAATTGTGACTTTTTTTCTTTGAGATTTACAGTCTAGATGTTAGAGCTCATAAAACACAAAACAGGAACGGACAGCTGCACCCAAAAGTTTACATCTCAGAATTTAGATTCTCCCCTCTACATTTTTCTTTATATCGTAGCTGTCACTTTTTTCATTTGGATTTCTGAGTTTTAATATTGGAATTTAGATTTTTTTTTTAGAGTTTACATTTTTACTTCACATTTCTGCTCTCTGAATTCTGATTTTACATCTTGATATTTTAAATTTACCTTATCTTAGAACTTTGACTTTTAACTTTTGGAATTCTGAGTACACATCTTGAAATGTAGAGTTTATACCTTTATATATCAAAATTGAGAATCAGGATGAGAATCAGCACCTTCAAGTCCGAGGCCATGGTGCTCCACCGGAAAAAGGTGGTTTGCCATCTCCAGGTTGGAGGAAAGTCCTTACCCCAGGTGGAGGAGTTCAAATATCTCTGGGTTTTGTTCACGAGTGAGGGAAGGATGGAGTGTGAGATTGAAAGGCAGATCAGTGCACCAGCAGCAGTGATGCGGCCGATGTACTCGTCCACTGTGGTAAAGAAGGAGCGGAGCCGAAAGGCAAAGCTCTCAATTTACCGGTCAATCTACTTTCTGCTTTGGTCAATACCGAAAGGACAAGATCTTGGATAGAAGCGGCTGAAATGAGTTTCCTTCGTAAGGTGGCAGGGCGCACCCTTATAGACAGGGTGAGGAGATCTGTCACCCGGGAGGAGCTCGGAGTAGAGCCGTTGCTCCTCCACATTGAGAGAAGTCAGCTGAGGTGGCTCGGGCATCTCTTTCGGATGCCTCCTGGACGCCTACCTAAGGAGGTGTTCCAGGCATGTCCCACCGGGAGGAGGCCTCGGGGAAGACCCAGGACATGCTAGAGGGACTATGGCCTGGGAACGTCTCGGGATCCCCCCAGGGAGGAGCTGGAAGAAGTATCTGGGGAGAGGTAAGTCTGGGGTTCTCTCCTAAAGCCTGGTTTATACTTCTGCGTCAAGTGACCGGCGTAACCCATGGCGCATGCAACGTGCGTAGCTGTGCATTTATACTTCTGCGCGCTGTCTCTGTTAGTCTGCATTAACACTTCTGAAACACTAGTTGGCAGTGAGGTGTAAATGTTCCTCTGTGGCAAGTTTCTTCGCTGCTGTTTTGCTTTTCCTGAACACTTCCGGGATGTACAAGTGTCCCAAACTCGCTCATTTTGAGGCAGGAACCGGCGGACGTGCAACAACTTTAACTATGAGGTAAACACAAAACAAAACTTTCCATCCGGAGCTCCTTCACGGGACTCCACACTTGTAAACAATCGCTCCATCAGGCTTGCACCATTCATGCGGCTCTCGGTTCCCCCCCAGACTCGTCAGCGCTACCAAGCCGACCAATCACAGAGCTTGCGCTACGTGTCGTTGCGATGTGTAGTTACATTTTTTGAGAGGTGCACGTCAGCGACGCCGACGCCGACGGCCACGGCGAATGGCTATGCGTCAGCGCCATAGCATACGCGGGCATTTGACGCAGAAGTATAAATCAGCCTTAAGACTGCTGCCCCCGCGACCTGACCCCAGATAAGCAGATGAAAATGATGATAAAGATGATATCTAAATTGAGGTATCTTGTTTTTGAGCTGTCAGAATTTCAATATAATATGCCACAACTATTTTTTTTTTCTGCATCAGAAATAAGCTTCCACTGTAGAGATCTTCAACATTAGCTGAACACATTTATATGAGTTTAATAAGGGACTAAGCCGAAAGACTGTCATACCTTGAAAAGGTCAATCTTCTGGAAAGTAGCGAGGTTGATATCCACAGCGATTGCTGTTCTCATCACCAGCGGCATCTTGTCTAATAACTCCGATTCATCTGTGGGACATTTAAGATTTTTGCAGACGATCCAGATAATTTGCTATCTACACACAGTAAGTTTCTGTATAAGCTACTATCATTACCCAATTAGTCACTTGAGTCTTTCTACTTTACACTAATCTCTTACCCAGCATGCCCTGGGAGTCCCAGGTGTAGTTATACCAGGTGCGAACTCTGCTCTGGACCAGTTTGGGAATGGTGTAGGTGTTCATATACGCCACGCAAGAATCCATAGATGCTCTGAAGTACGTTTGACCTGCCGTAGCTGCTCCAATGACGTCTCGCATCTGAATGCATACGGATTCAGAGCATGGTAAGCAACTTTCAGCGATGTGAAGTTATGTGCCATAATTTCTGTTTACCTGTCCAATCAGGCTGGAGAAGACAAAGACTCCAGTAAAGAAGTTGACAAGCTGGAAGACGATCTCGAAGAGCGTATGGGGCTCCGGCAGACCTCCGATAGTGATCAGGGTACGAGTGGCGAAGTAATAACAGCGCAGATATCTTAGAGAAGTAATATTATCAAATTAGTACAATGTTTATTTATAGAAATGCAATAGCATTTTATTTTGAATTCAGTATTTTTAATTTTTATTGTGAATTATAAAACTACAATATTGTAACACCTTTTAGCTGATTATATAATGTTTGCCAATTTAATAGTGTATTACAATGATAACACTGCAAAAAATATTTACTTTTAATCATTTGGAAGATAAGTAATTTACCATTAATTTTTACAACTTTCAAATTAGAACAATTAAAGCAATTAAAGTAAAAAAATGTCTAATGCAGTGCACAATTTAGATACATATAAAAAAAACACATACCTATCTAATATCCTATACGTAATACTGTGTGTATGTGTATTGTGTGTGTGTGTGTGTGTGTGTGTGTGTGTGTGTGTGTGTGTGTGTGTGTGTGTGTGTGTGTGTGTGTGTGTGTGTGTGTGTGTATATCCATCATACAGCAGGGGAAATAAGTATTGAACACGTCACCATTTTTCTCAGAAAACATTTCTAAAGGTGCCGTTGACTTGAAATTTTCCCCGGATGTTGGTAACGTATGCTTTCAGAGAAAGAAAATAAAGCTGTAGAATGGCCTAACCAATCACCTGAATCCAATATAAAATACAAAATAAAGATCAGATTTGATAGACGAGACCCACAGAACCATCAAGATGTTTACACTCTGTTGAAGTCTGTGAAAAACTCTATTCTCCATATAAGAGGCGTCTTCAAGCTGCCATCACCAAAAATGTCTTTATATAAAGAATTAAACAAATTTCTGTAATTCAGCACTTACTCTTTGTGTCATTCATAGTTATTACATAACTCATTTTTTTATTTGTTTGTTTTGTTGAATTTTTTTAGTTTGTTTTGTTTGGGTTTTTACCTAAATCTGGTTTAATTTCATGTCAACAGCTTTTTTAGGAATGTTATTCTAAATTAAAAAAATAAAATAAAATAATAATAATTTGTTCAATACTTACTTTCCCTGCTGTATGTACAGTTCAAGTCAGAATTATTTGCCCCCCTGTTTATTTTTCCCCAATTTTTGCTTAATGGTGATACTATTTTTTTCAACACATTTCTAGACATAATAGTTTTAATAACTCATTTCTAATAACTGATTTATTTCATCTTTGCCATGATGACAGTAAATAATATTTTACTAGATATTTTTTAAGACACTTCTATACAGCTTAAAGTGACATTTAAAGGCTTAACTAGGTTAATTAGGTGAACTAGGCAGGTTAGGGTAATTAGGCAACTTATTGTATAATGATTTGTTCTGTAAACTATCAGAAAAAAATAGCTTAAAGGGGCTAATAATTTTGACCTTAAACTATTTTTTAAAAATTAAAAACTGCTTTTATTCTAGCCGAAATAAAACAAATAAGATTTTCTTCAGAAGAGAAAAATATTATCAGACATAGTGTGAAAATTTGCTTGCTTTGTTTAACATCATTTGGGAAATATTTTAAAAAAGAAAAAAAAATCAAAGACGGGCTAATAATTCTGACTTCAACTGTAAAAAAACCAAATTATTTCTGAATTAATGAGTATTAAATAAGTGAATCCATACGCATTTCCTAGTCCATCATATGTCCACCTACTGCTGCCCAGACCCTCATATTCTGATGCCACATAATAGAGGCAGGAGTTGATATGAAGACAGTAGAGCAGATATCCAGTAGTGCGGCCAACTCTGCCAAATAAAAAGACCAAGATTAATATTAAAGATATGGATTTAATCACCCCAAACCCCTGCCATTTGCCTAACACACTCTTATTCACAAGTAATATCTCAAAATTCCTAGCTGGTTAAGTTAAGATGTGATGCTACAATTATAAACTGACTTAATAATAATAATAATGCCCAGCTGGTAGCTGATATATATATATATAAACTACACATATGCAAACATACCTCCAGATATACGCCTTAGCCATGATGCTTTCCAGACGATCACTGAACTCAAAAAATGATTGATACTAAATAGAAGAGTGAAGATGTGTTATACAATTGCACAGTGCATCAAAAAACAGTTAATGGGAACTGTTAGTTGTTTTAGTACTATTAGCTAAAGTTGAAGTGTATTCAGATAAAGCCAAAAACAAAATATAAAAAAGAAAACTAAAATAAATGTTAGTACTGAAATTATTATTATTATATACCAAGTCTACATATTTAATATATAACTCAACACTTAATTACATAATAATAAATTTAATAAAATACATAATACTTTATTTTATAAATACAAATTATAAATGTTTATGTAACACTTATAATACACACTCAGACACACACACACACACACACATATATCTGAAATTGGTAACAGTATACACACACACACACACAAACATATATTACAATAACAGTTTTGGCTGCAGAACTAACCCGCATAAATCGGTTTAGCCTAAAGAATGATGTAAATCCAAACTGGAAACACAGCAAGTCAAACGGTATGATGCTTATCAGGTCTGTCTGTTGAGAGAAAATATGATAAACATTAATCAAACATTAAATCACAAAAATATATGCACTTTATGCAAGGCTTAGTTACACAATACATGAAAATCAAGGACATAAGGAAGAATAAATGTACTAAAAATGTTTATATATATATATATATATATATGTTGTAAAATATAATAATATTTTCATAATATATTCTGTCAAATGAAATAAAAATACAATTTAATATACACATACACATAAAATTATATTTAAGATATTTATAGAAAATTAAATTTATTTTATAAACTATGCAGATATTAATTTATAAACAATACATATTTATTCAATACAATTTTCACACACCTGGAATCTGGCAGATTCTCTGTAGTTCTGTTTTGTCTGTACTCTGTCTTTCTGAAGAAATAAATGTGCAGGGTTTCTTTTTAGTAAAACCTTAAAAAAAAGTATGAGTCTCTATTCTAAATATGTACTGCCATATACATTTCTGGAGAGTGCCAAATATGTCCTAGGAGCTAAATTTTTTTAGCAGTCTTTGTTTTAGCGAATCCACTAGATGTGTAAGCTTTTTCAGATCTCAGATTTCTCTCGCGATTGCCATTCGCGCCTGCCAGAGGCTACTGTTGACTGACTGACTGGCTGACTGACCCACCCTCCTCCCTCCCCAAACCTAACCAATAGTGTTTTCAAAAGCACCGATTGACCAGCGCCCACCCACTTCCATAAACCCAACTGACAGTTTTTAAAAGCAAAAAAAAAGCCCTCATCTGATTTTTACTACATTTTCAGATTTTACCACATTCTCACTGTCATTTACTTCTTTTTTTTTTGGCTTGTTTGTGTTTTACCTGCTTTGTGGAATTGTTCTTCGCTGAACTCGAACCCCATCATCATGGTGAACTCCTCGCTCTGTCTCAAGTCCGCCAATGTACTTAGCGAGCTAACTAGATAAATTGGTACCACTGGGAAAGTTGTTCATACGAAGATAAGCGGTCAGCTGGTAAGCATGAAAAGGAACAGCGTAGTGTTCATTTTAAAGATGAAATGCAGCCATACAGACTTCTGCCTACATAATTCACCAACTCCAGAAATGTATATAGGGCTACATTTTCAGACATTTTTCATGAGCCTGTGTTGAAAAAAGCACTCACTATAATGTCTCCTGCTTTCACAAACTGAAGCCGCGGCTGAAACATAGTGATGTCGATGACGTTCACCAGGTCTGCCAGTAAATCGAATAGGATCCAGAAGGGAATGGTGGCAGGAGTGTGGTAGGGAAAACACAAGCGTGCCGTGGCCAACCAAACATTATAGTTAAACGCAACTGTGACGACGCTCAGCCATTTAATATACCTCCGATCTGTTAAAAGACCAAACATATACACCAGTCAGTATGAGCAAATTGTTTCATTGGCATTTTTTCTGTGATTTTTTTCCTAATGTCCTACCTGTAAAAGGGTCAATAGTTGCACCCAAATACGAGTCCATTTTGTCTTCAAATGGTTTAAGAAGGGTGTCTATACATGTGCATTTGATTTTAGGAAACATGGCCTCAGCTGCCTCTTTATCAGCTGCCTCTTTCTCTGCTTTCAGTTTTTCCTCTTTCTCCTTCTTTTCTTTCTCCTCCTTTTCCTTCTTCGCTGCAGCTCTCTTGGCGTCATCCTCTTTTTTCTTCTGCTCAGCCTCTTCTCGTTTTATTCTTTCCTCTTCTTGTTTTCTGATCCAGTCTTCCTTTCGGTAAACTGGTGCTGTGTATTAAGGAAATCTGAGTGAGGTTTATTTTTATAACGCTTAAGAAACTCCTAGAATATAAAGCAGATCGATTTATAAACCGAATCTTCAGAATCAGAGATGCGCACTTCATTAAACGCTTATGAAAATCAACCATGGTATTAAACGTTATTTGTTTATGTTTTATAATTAGTGAAATGATTTACATTTCATTTGTATAAGCACAGTTTTGATTTTGATTCATAAGCTTGCTATTCATTTCTGATTTTGAGCCCAAAAGAAGCGTATATAAGGATTCTGCATTCACACTACGAGTGACTAGCATCGGCAAATCGACAAGCGACCTTGCATTTCAACGAAGAGCGAGCAACTTCCAGCGACCTCCGTTTACACAAGCGACAGCGACCGTTGGCACAAAGGTGGGCATGTCGAGTGACGCGACAATGTTGAGAATCCTTCAGCTTTATACAAATGAAGAGTGACTCTTTGCTTTAGACATTATCAAGGTCGGAACAGGGGTGTAACGTGATGGTGCGTAACTTGTAGTACGTTAGAGGCATAACTTGAAGCTATAGAGAACCATGTTTTAAAACTATGTTGTTGGCAAGGTGTATATCAGTTATTAATGTCTACACCTACTCCACACCTAAACCCAACCTTCACAGTTATTAAGGTCTGCACCCTACCTACCACAACTCTAAACGCAACCATCATCGTTATTTATGTCTACACCTAACAAAAAACCTAAGCCTAAACCCAACCATCATAGTGATTAATGTCTAAACCTACACCGATCCTTAACCCAACCGTCATAATAATTAATGTCTACACCTAACCCAAACCGAAACCAAACCATCATCTTTATTAATGTCTACACCTAACCCAAACCTAAACCAAACCATCATCTTAATTAATGTCTACACCTACACCAACCCTTAACCCCCAACCATCATATTAATTAATGTCTACACCTAACCCAACCCTTAACCCAACCATCATAGTGATTAATGTCTACACTTAACCCAAACCTAAACCCAACCATCATATTAATTAATGTCTACACCTAACCCAAACCTAAACCCAACCATCATAGTGATTAATGTCTAGACCTACACCAACCCTTAACCCAACCATTATAGTGATTAATGTCTCCACCTACACCAACCCTTAACCCAACCATCACAGTTATTAACATCTACACCTTCCCTAACCCTAAACCCAAATCATTTTGTAACGTACAGCTGCAAGTTGCAGAGACTTTCAAACTTGACACACTCACCATTGTACTGTTTTTTGCAACCACAGGAAGTGATGCTGAGTAGGCAAACTGTTATGACAAAACGAATAAAGAAATCAACAAGATGCATGGCTAAGTGAATGAATATAATAATATATCAAATTAATTGGTTGTGGATAAATTTGGAGAAATCTCACTAAAGCATGTGGTGAAAATTTTCTCTGGTAAATATTTCTGTCATTTTGCCAACAACATCTTGTTCATCTCGCATGGCTCAATAGGATACTGATAACTACAGGTTACCCCTCTCTAACTTACAAATTACGCCCTTTTATGTTTCAGAAGTCGCTCACTCTGCGTTAAAAAGGGTTGAAATGAACGATCGCTCGTAGTGGTGAATGCAGCTTGAAATCAAGACAGGGCCCAGAATAAGCACTGAGGAACTCCAATAATCTAAAAACAGAAAAAGATGAAGAAATAAACTATCACTCACTGACGGGTGGTGTGCGCTCTGGGGACGAGGCGTACGGGTCGACGATTTTCTCTTTATAAAGCTCTGTCCTCTCCCGCATTTTCTTGACGATGTCCCGCAGTTGGTCGTCAGTGTATCTGTAGTAGACGACTGGTGGAGTTGGAGGTGAAGGGGGTCCATCTTCACTACATGAAAAAAGAGATGGGAAATATAAGGTTAATGATTATGTAATCAATAGCAGTCATTTTATTAGACTTTGTAGTATTGGTAATGGTGGCTGTTGTAATAGCTTATGTTGATTACATTTTCCTGATATATGCTGTTTCCTGTTCTAAACCTGAAGAGAAAAAGCTCTTTTTTTAAATAAAAAAGCTATCTGTAATTTTAGATGTGTTTATACAGCATGTCTCGTATTTTTCCAGAAAATCACGAATGTCAGTGATCATTAAAGGGTAAATTCAGGTGAATTGGGACACTTTTTGCTATTGAGATGACCAAAGAGGAGTGTCCTAATTTTTTTTTTGTCCTAAAGTTTTTCATTTATCAAAATAATGGGATTATGTCATGTCAGTCATAAAAATGCTCAAAATAGTTTAAGCATGTAATTGAGTATGCCAAAGTTAATGTATTTGGCTTACATCTGTTTTGCCAAACATGCTAAAAACATGCTAACTCATTTTAACCATGTAAAAAACATTCTAATTAATGCTAGCACATTGTTAAAACACACTACCAACATCTTACCAACATAGTAGAAACATTGTAAGTCACTTACCCATGTTAGTAACTTACCATGCTGATAACATCCAAAATGCAAAATTTGCTAGCAACATGCTAATTCATGTGATTTGTGTAAAAAAAACATGCCTGTTAATTCTAACCAACTACCAACATGTTAATCCATAATAGAAACATTGTAGATCACTTAGCAGTGCTAGTAACTAACCATGTTAGAATTAAAAAAAACATGCTGGTATAGCATCCAAAATGCAAAATTTACTAGCAATATGGTAATTCATGTTAACCATGTAAAAAAAACATGCAAATTAATGCTAAAAAAAGTTGTAAAACACACTACCAACATGTTAATTCATAGTAGAAACATTGCAATTAGCTTAGACAGGTTGTTAACTAACCATGTTAGAATTTGAAGAACATGCTGATAACATTTAAAATGGTAAATTTGCTAGCAACATGCTAATCCATGTTAACCATGTAAAAACATGCTAATAATTGCCAGCACCGTTTTAAAACACACTACTAACCTGTTAATAATAGTATGAACATTATAAGTCACGTATCCAAGTTAGTAATTTACCAAGTTAAATTTGAAGAACATGCTGGTAACATTCAAAATGGTCCATTTGCTAGCAACATGCTAACTCATGTTAGTGTAAAAAAACATGCTAATTATTGCTAGCACAGTGTTAACACTCTACCAACATGTTAATTTATAGTAGAAATATTGTAAGTTGATTAGCCATGTTAGTAACTAACCATGAATTTGAAGAACATCCAGGATGATACATTTGCTAACAACCTGCTAATCCATGCTGGCCACATGTTAAAACAAGATCAAAACAGCAGGTAATGTGATAAAAAAGAAACACTACTAACATGCTAGCTTGATTTTATTTATAAATAGGATAAATAATTTGCAGTGATATTATTAAAGCTGTCAGGGTTATATAACACAACTTACAGTATGCCCTGGTTTAAACAGAGAATGTGTTAATCTTATAGAGGGAAGCCAAATCTTGCACACAACAACAAATCTTATCTGCATTCCAGAGCTCACAGCCTAAGTCTTTATCTAATTTCTGAGAAAGTTCAGCTGCTGAACTAACGCCACACTTCGTTTATGCTCAAGACTACATAGTATAAACCTGTACCTGTATTTATATTCTTTTTATTTAAAGCAATTCCTTTGCATTTGTGTCAAATAATTGCTTTAAATCATTGAATTAGTCCTCTTTCCCAGTAGGGACTTTCATTTTGCACACCATAATACTGTAAACCCAGCCTGATCTCATGAGAAGCGTAAGTATTTTACATTTTGCCAGTTTAGTGGCTAATTTGTACGAATTCGTACGAGTTCAGTCGTACGAAATTGTACGATTTTAAAAAGGAGGCGTGGCACCTAACCCCACCCCTAATAAACCCAACTGTCATTGGAGGATGAGCAAGTCGTACTAAATTGTTTGAATTAGGTCATACGAATTTATACGAATTAGCCACAAAATCAAAAAGTTACGAGTTGCCGTGAGATTGTGTTGGTAAACCTCAAGTTCTAATTGTTCCTGGAAAGCTGATCCTGTGTTGTTTGTTGCAGTTAGCTAAAATTAGCACATATATAGAGCTAAATTTAGTCTTACACTAGTATCATCATTACATCGTCAGAATTGTTACTGTAAAATGATGACTGCTTAGTTATGGTTTGCTGAAATCAATACAGGCTCTGATATGTACTGAAAACAGAAAAAAACAGAAACTCCTGTTTACATGTGAGCACGTTCCCATGATCTTCTTAAGTCACAAATGCTGCAGATCTCCTAATCTCCTTTCAGCAGTATTTAGGGTCACGCTGAACATCACTGAGTCAAAGATGGACATAAACAAAGAAAAACCTGCTGTGTAAATACAGGATAAAGATCTCTTCCTCAGATATCAAAGCCGCATTTTACAACATCTATCTATCTATCTATCTATCTATCTATCTATCTATCTATCTATCTATCTATCTATCTATCTATCTATCTATCTATCTATCTATCTATCTATCTATCTATCTATCTATCTATCTATCTATCTATCTATCTATCTATCTATCATCAATAAAAACGATCCATCCATCCATGTATACTTTTTCTAACGTTTTCTTATTTATTTATAGTTGCTAAAATACAGAGAATATGTTCAAATATAACACAGACTATAAATGTAATAAATGTTAAAGAGTAAGTTTCCTTTTATTATTGCACTGCGTTCTGGAATACTTTATTCTGATTAGTCAATCATGAAATTCCAAGGTGTGTTATTTCCAGATAACCACTAGAAGTAAAAGCACAGAGTCAACTGGGTACTTCGTACTATTTTGACCATTGGTGAGTATATTTTTACATATACATTTATACAGTGGTCCCTCGCCATAAAGTGGTTCCCATTTCGTGGTCCTGCAGTTTTGCAGATTTTTTTTTTGTGCAATTTTACATGCTTTTTTTTTTTTTCAGCGCATTGTGTTCTGCGTCCTGATTAGCACATTGTGTTTTGCGTTTTGATTGGCTGTAGACCATTGTCAATCAATCTCTTCCATGCCGTGGAATGCGTTCAGCTTGCCAAATTGACATAAATCTTCAATCAGCAGTGTGTGACTCTGAAGTGCTTGCAAGTTTTCTCCCCAACAAACCCCATAATGTCGACGAAACATTGTGCACTATTAAAGGCACCAGTGGTAGCACCCAAAAGAGAGATTATCTAGGGACCGCTGAACACTCAAAAAATGACTTTTGCTCCTTGTTTAAACTACTTATTCATGAGTTGAAACAATGCAACTCTTACGTTTTTTTGTTTTTTTTTTGGCAACTTAATTAGTTTTATGTTCAATCCACCTAAATTTGTAAAAACAATGAAGTTAACCTAATCGATTTGTGTTGGGATGATATGAAGGAATTGTGTGAAACCCAGCAATTTTTGAAAGTGTGTGCTTGTCTTTCTTTCGCGCCACTGTTCTTAATAGTTCTGCGCCATCTTGTGATAAATAAGTTATTTCTTTGAATTCAGCTTTTTTCTATCTGCAAGCTTTATGAATGAGTTAGTAAAATATTACAGCTCAATGTAATCATGTCTAAATCATCTACAAGTCAGTATATTTTGGTTAATTGTTTATTTTGTGGCAAGTTTGTGTAATAAGCGGAATAATGTACATGACAGTTGTTTGGCCTTGCTTAATTAGTCAATTCGTAATAAAGTGCGCATGAACCAGAAGTTTCTGAGACTTTTATTTAAAAAAAAAAAAGTATGCAAGAAGTACCCTTATGACTTACTACTTCCAGCAAGATTCTGAATTTGATGCACGCTACGCTATTTCATGGTGCACTACGAGAGAATGGTAGTAAAGTGACACAACCCGATGATGGTAGGTCACGTGATCATGACAAAATGGCGGATGTAGAACATTTAGTTCTATTCATATTGCTCACATTCATACATAGAAAGTACTTTTCGAACGGCCAAGTAGTATATTTAAATTCAAATGCAGTTACTACTGAGTAGTAGGCAATTTCGGATGCAGCCATACTCCCTACTGAAACAGAATATTAACTAGTGCTTAAGAATATTGTTGCTGAAGCGTCAAACAGTAGGGCCGCCCTTCAAACACAAAAGCAAATGGTCAGACTTTTATTGAAGTTTACCAAAACAAACATTTTTCCCCCAGTGGATTAACTTGCACACATTAATTGTTCACCTAAAAAATAACAATGTCCGCTAGCAAAATAAATATTGTAAATTGGATTTCACACAGAGTCTTTAAACATTACTTTCGTATTAAATGCTGCTACTCTCTACCTGTACTGCTACTAATAAATAAGAAGTAATACTATTTGTGTCTTGAGCCGTGGGAACAAAGTGAGGCCGGTGTTTGAGTGATAATCAGAAGCACCTGTTTCATACACCAGACTCGAGTTTTGCGAAGGAGCTCTGGATGATAAAAGGAGGAGAGGCAACAGTGGAAGAGAGGACCAGGCCTGGACACTTTGTTTTATTTTTGCTTTCAATTTGGCGGCAGACTCTGTGAAAAGCTGCCATCTGTTTGTTTAATTTTTTCATTATTAAAATCATTCATAGGTTCATAGGTTCTCTGCCTCCTTCCCGATGGCCAGGTGGGCAGTAACTTCATTACACTATTATTAAACATAGAGGGTATTTACAGGTTAAACTCTTACCCAGCAGTTTCTGCTCCAGGATTGGCTGGATCTGCTGGTTTAGGAGGGTCTGGAGCTGGTGCAGATGCTGGAGCTGGTGCAGATGCTGGGGCAGGAGCCGGAGCTGGTGCAGATGCTGGAGCCGGAGCTGGTGCAGATGCTGGAGCAGGAGCTGGTGCAGACGCTGGAGCAGGAGCTGGTGCAGACGCTGGAGCAGGAGCTGGTGCAGACGCTGGGGCAGGAGCTGGTGCAGATCCTGGAGCAGGAGCTGGTGCAGACGCTGGAGCAGTTTCTTAAAAATAGGTCAGAATTGCATGTTTTTGAGATATTTTATGTTCCTACTCCTGCCCTAGTCACCTAACTGGCCGCTAGCTCTCTGCAACTCTCACATGGTCGGCCACTGAAGCTAAGCAGAGCTGGGCCAGGTCAGTACCTGGATGGGAGATGACATGGGAAAGCTAGGTTGCTGCCGGAAATGGTGTTAGTGAGGCGGTGTTCGGTGGTGTTCAGTCTGTGTGGGTCCTAATGCCCCAGTATAGTGAAGGGGACTCTACTGCTTTCAGATGAGACGTTAAACCTAGGTCCCAACTCTCTGGGGTCATGAAAAATCCCAGGATGTCCTTCGAAAAAGAGTAAGGGTTTAACCCCGGCATCCTGGTCAAATCTGCCCACTGGCCTCTGTCCATCATGGCCTCCTAACCCTCCCCATTTCATAATTGGCTTCATCACTCTGTCTCCTCTCCACCAATCAGCTGGTGTGTTATGCGGTCTGGCGCAATATGGCTGCCGTCGCGTCATCCAGGTGGATGCTACAGAATGGTGGTGGATGAGGAGATTCCACCCAATGTGTAAAGTGCTTTGAGAGTCTAGAAAAGCGCTATATAAATGTAAGCAATTATTATAATTATCAGAAAAATAATATATGTGATTATTAGCAACTAATGTGAAAGGTTTTTGCTGATCCTAATAGCATCAGGTTAAATGTTAGTCATGACATGCTCTTTAATATTAATAAAGTGCCTCAGCAAAATTTAAATGTTACAATAAATTCCCCTAATAGAGCATCTTTAAGACTCACCAGTGGGCTTTTGCTCTTCTTTTTTCTCTTCTTTCTTTTCTTCATCTTTTTTTGGCTCTGGCTTTTCCTCCTGCTAAAACAGTGTTAACTCCTGCTGTCTTGACAAAGAGCATATCTTTAATTTGTGGGCATTTCTGCAGATCTTCAACAGCCTAGTGCTGACAGATAGTTTATTAGAGCAGCGTTCCCAACCACGTTCCTGGAGGACCAGCAGCTTTGTATGTTTCGGATGTCTCTTTTGTCTGTCACAGCCATTACAGGTCATTCAGTCTCTGGTTAAGGAGTTTGGTTCAGTTTGGTTAAGGAGACGTGAAAAATGTGCAGAGCTGGTGGTCCTCCAGGAATGTGGTTGAGAAACACTGTATTAGAGTATATTAAAAATGAACGATAACTGTAAGTCAATGTCTATAAGCATCTTTTTTCCCCCCAAGACTTCAGATTGAAATTAACACAAGTTTCCTTTTTATTGCACATACTGTATTGAGATTTCTTGAATGAGGAATAAGCAAAAGCAGAAAGTGTAGACTGTAAAAATGCGGGGATTAAAGTTAAATTAATTAAGTAAATATTTGTTACAAATTTAAGTAGATTGAACATAAAATTTGTCCCACAAAACATAAGAATTGTGTTGTTTCAATTACTTCAAAAAGTAGTTTGAACAGGAAAAAAAAAAAAAAAAAAAAAAAAAAAAATATATATATATATATATATATATATATATATATATATAAAACTAAATATAGAGCTAATTAAAACCAAGTGGTTTTTGAGTGTTTAATAATAAATCAACATAGAAATTAATTAAGATGACATTTAGCATGTTAGCTAAATGAATGCGATTCACCTCATCATCTCTAAGTGTCAACTTAATAAATATTAAATGTATGGCATTTGAGTTATTAGTGTCAGTCATGTTTTAATGCTTCAAACACTGTTCATTTGACTCTCAGACTAGTTCATTAATTTGATCCCAACAAAATTGTGTAAAAAAAAATAAACAAAATCCCTAATTTTATAGCATTAAGTAAAAAACAACATCGTTTTAACCATAAAATGTTTGTTTTTAGTAAGTAATCATCAGCTATTTAAATACTAATGGCTAATTTAGATTAGATTTGTCTATCCACATTAAAAACAAATACTGTAGAAACAATTTCCACTCGGAAAATGCTAGCAAATTTCACAAATAATAGAAAAAAAATAATAGCAGACTGAATTAGATATGATATTTTGAAATATACCCCAATAATCTTTGCTTTTCTTTAAGTGATCAAACCTAATCAAACTTATGCTATACCTGCTGTATTCATTTATTATATATATTTTTTTCACAGTACTTAATCAGTATGATCCCAACAAATGTATTAAATAAAAAAAAAAACTTGGACTGTTCTCATTTAACAGTAATATTATACCACAAATAATAACAAATAATAAACATTTTATTAGTTACTAACATTTGAATTACAGGGAGGTTTGGGGGGGACTGACCCCCCAATTAATGCTCAATTCCCTTGAAGGACGTGAAAACAACACGTATGGGGGGCCAGTCCTCTAAATAGTAAGAAATAGTTTGCATTGATCTGCATCTTAAATACTAATATTACTAATTAAATAATAGATATACACATGAACACGCCAACAGTATAATGGATTATACCATTGTAAATGTATAATCGTGTCTATTAATCTAAGCTGATAGACATGGTGTTCACATTTTTTCTTTGTTTCTACATAGGCTAAATGTAAAGTTTGTACCCACAGTAAATATTTTGCATTGATAAATTAATTAATCATTTAATTTGATTCACTGAAGCATGTATTACACCTAATAACATTACCGAAAAAGTTGGCCCTCTGATGTGTATAATTTGCACCCTGGTTACTAACATTACACCTTTAAATCCACATTGCTTATTCATATTGCAGAATTTTACGTACTGAAAATTTGCACAGTGGGTTTCAAAAATAGTTACACAATGCGATGTAACCGCTGTATTAAACATTTTAATGTATATATATATATATATATATAAAATCTTTTATTTCAATGCAATAAATCAAGCTGAGAAATATTGAGAAATGAAATGTATGTCAACTGTGTTAAATCCAGCTGGTCGTACCTTTACCGGAGGTGTTGTTGTTGTTGAAGCTGGTGGTCCAGGGCTCTGTGCGACCGCTACTGCAGCTCTGGGCCAAAAAATCGTTTTTAAGGTGCTGAACATGGCGATCCCATCCAGATTAATCCTTTGACTCTCCTTATCCTGTTGCTGCCGATGTGTGAACTCCAAGCTGCTTCAATTAATTCTCGAAGCTCGATTAATTCCCTCGCAGGAACAGCCCATTTCCCTTGTTTATTGACCAATCAGAAGCCTTCTCGCACAGTCAACCAATCGTGGTCCTGCTCTAAATTTGCACAGTTGAAGGTGTGTAATGTGATGTTTCCTTATATTTATATTACTTCTATTTATTTTATTGTCTACTATTTGATTGGCTCACAGTCAAAATGTACTTTAATACTGATAATTTCTAGGCTATTCTGGAGATATTCTTGCTCTGTTTGTATAGTGTATATTTGGCTCTGGGTCCACATTTAGAAAGAGCTCTCAGCTAATTAAAACTCTTGATGTTCCTGCCAGACTAAAGAGATTAAGGGAGATCTCACGACAGACTGACTTGACTACCAGTGCATGCTCGGCTAACAGATAATGCTAACTCAATGTGATAATATTTATACAATGTTACATTTTTTTCTTCAGGCAAATTAAATTAGCCTGTTTTAACTTATATTTATTAAACTGACTTAAAACAAGCTTGGATGACTTTAAAAATGAAGTTAAACTAATTAAACTAATTAAAAAAACTAATTAAAGTAAACTAATTAAAATAAATTAAACTAACATAATAAACCTGCACTGAAAAAAAGGATTTCTTCAAAATTGTTGCAATTAATTTTTATCTGTTGAATTTAAACAAACAAATTAAATTTAGTAACGTTCAACATAATTTGTTTGTTTAAATTCAGCCCAAATAAATTGTTTACAACCATATAACTTAAAAAAAAATCTCACTCAAAAAAATAACTCTTTGGATGAACTCAATTTGATTGAGTGCAGGATTTCCATCCAATAAATTTGTTTAGCAGCAACCAAAAATAAAAACTATTTAACAATTAAATGCAGTTGAGTTGGTCTAATGTGATTTTATCAAATGAAAGTTTAAATACATTTGTATTTTTATTTAACTTGAACTCAAAGGTCTGATAATATCATCTATGTCTATTATATGTCGTACATTTCAAAGTCTCTTAGTTTTATTTGAAGTTATCCTAAATGAACTTAAAGAGCCATTTTAAGCCTATTTCATAAGTCACATATACAGTGGATTGAGACTGATCTCAGAACTAAAATTTTAGGAAAGTTATTGCTCACTGAGCAAAGCCATGAACTGCATTTTTGCTAATAAGCTGCCAACATCCAAAGCATGGCTGCTTCTGCAAGGTGGTAATCTCGAAACTCAAAGCATTATATGAAAATCTCATAAATCTTCAAACTAATATGAAGATTAAACTCTAACAAGTCTTTCTATTAACTTTTAAACACCTGAGACTACTTTTATTGTCAACATTTCTCTCTCCTAATTCAATCCAAACAAACAAATTCAATTCTAATTCAAACAAAGCATGCTGGAAACTACAAACCTCCTAAACCAGTGGTTCTCAAAATGTTTTCATCAAGTACCACCTCAGAAAAAACATTGTATCTCCAAGTACCACCATAATGAGCAGTATTGAAATACAGTAGCGTAAAGCAGCTACAACTCTGCACAGTAAATAAAACGTGGCAGAGTATCTCATAAGTATAGGCTATATGTCATATATGGCACATCATATACATAATTTTTGATACATTTTAAAATATATGTAGCATGTACATGACATATTTCATTCGTCCGCGTACCACTAGAAGGAAGCCTGCGTACCACTAGTGGTACACGTACCACAGTTTGAGAACCACTGTCCTAAACAGTTAGTTTGATAAACACAATTGCTTCATATTAAATTGCTTCAACACAAAATGCCTAAGTTAACTTAGTGGTTTACTTATTTAAGTGAACATAAATCAAATAAATTGGCCAAAGAAATGACAAGAATTGTGTTGTTTCAGCTCACTTTAAATAGGTAGTTTTAACAAGCAGCAGTAATCATCTTTTTGAGTGTACATTGTCATCGGTGTTCGGTGTAATGAGTTACAAAGTAACTAGATATTGTAATTGCTCTTTAGCTTTAAAAGTATTTAGCACTTAGCATTTTAGTTCATTTCATTACAGTTACTTAAATAAATAAATATATATAAAATAAAATATAAATAAAAAAAGAAGTTCTATATAAATTAAGTTAGAGAAGCAGAGTAATATAGTTTTATTTTTCGTCTAAAGAACATTCATCCTTTATTAAGATCTCAAATAAAAATAATTTGAGAAATTAGTGCTTGAGACTTTTTAAGACCTATTTACGGCCATTATGAAGAAAATAACAGACTTATATAGGGCTAAACGCTAAGAATTTTCTCTAAAGGCATAGTTGGGTCAATGAAAAAGATTTGAAGAGTTCAAATGCAAAAACCTGCAGTTTAGTGGCTAATTCGTATGAATTCGTACAAGTTCAAGTGTATGAAAATGTACGATTTTAAAAAGAAGACGTGGCATTGGGTGATGAGCAAATCGTACTAAATTATGTGCTATACATGTAAAATTTACAAATTAGTTTGTACAAATTCATACGAATTAGCCACTAAATCAAAAATTTTTATATATATATATATATATATATATATATATATATATATATATATATATATATATAGCATGTGAGATTGCTTTGTTTATATCAGGCTTGTGTGTGTAGGTTCAGTAATTTCACCTTTTAGACAAAAAAATAAGTGTTTTCATACTCTTTAAAGTGAAATAACTCAACATAACTAAAGTTGGCTGAGAAAAATGTTCATTTTTGACTGAAATTGCAGACGGCACTTTATTGTAACTTGCCTCATCCAAACAATTTTAATTTAGTTATATCTTAACCACATTTTTTAAATGTCAAAACAAGCTGAATCTAGTTATATATTATAACGTTTACAACATTTATAATATTTACAAAAATATAATGAACTAAATTTATGCAAATAAATGTTATTGTAAGAATTACACCATTTGGTAAATAGAGTTAAATATTTATCATTTATTAAAAGTTTTATTTAAATGGGATTATTGGCGATTGGTCGGCATGATTGAGTATCTTTACATAGAGAAAAATTAAGACCCGTTTAAAATTAAGACCTACAAAAAATGTCAGTAAATTTAAGACCCTTTGTTTTTGAAATGTAAGACATTTTAAGACCCGCTGACACCCTGATAAATTCAGAGAAGCAGTTTTATTGTAAATTCTAATATTTTTGTGTTATTAGGACATTTTCTATATTTTTTTTACGAAAAGTTTTATTTATTTAGTTGACATGAACTATTAATTATTCATTAAATAGTAATTAATTGCTTTTTTAAAGTAATTTACACAACACGTATTGTCATGACCTATTGATCATGTAATTTTGCTAACACTACAATAAGATTACATTAATTAATGTTACCTATTGTATTTATAAATAATGAACAATTACTTTATTACAGCATTTTTAAAAATCTTTGTTTATGTTAGTTAAATGAAGTTGTTCATTTTTAGTTGACCTTAACAAGCTTTTGTGATCTTAATAATGCATTAAAAAACACATAAAACTCGACATGCTTCAGAAATAATGAGCAACTATGAAATAACAAAGCAAGTACTTTATTTAAGTATTAGTACAAAATAGATCTATTTGGAAGAATGTTAACAAATAACAATCATGTAATTCCTGTATTACTATTATTAATCTGACTGATTGGCAAGTACTGCTGTTGGCAGGGAAACTCATTTCCAAAATGTGAACAAATACATTTATTATTAGCAGTCAAAAAAGCAGAAATATATAGAGAAATGATCTATTGTGCTACTACTGATTTGAAGCGGCGTTCTGGAAAGAAAAAGAAAAAAAGAAAATAATGATCCGTCTTTTTTGTGTTCTCATTAAATTATGATCTCAGTTTGTTTCAAGATGTTTGCTCAAAAGTTTGGGGTCAGCAAGATTTGTAAATGTATTTGAAAAAATCTATTTAATATATAGTAAAAGTAAGAATTTTATGAACAGTACAGCAAAATATTGTTATTAAACGTTCAAATATAGATTTGCCATACAGATGCTACCATAGGTAACTGTGTGTTTTAATAAATGTTAAAACAATTTGCCATATACACCAACATAAATGATTAAACCTTTATTTAGAAAATGTGCAGGTGTGGGTTTAAATATAATTATACATGACTTATTATCATTGTAGAAAACAGTGCTGTTTAGAACCGCTTAATACTTTTGTGGAAACTGATTTTTTTGTTTGATTCTATGATGCAAATGAAGTTTAGTTCAACAAAACAGCATCTGAATGTAACATTATGCATGTTTTATGCAACCCAGGCTCATTTTGAAAACGTACTTCTATATACATTTCTGGAGACCGCAAAATACGTCCCAGGGGGTATGTTGTTTTGCAGTTTTTGTTTTCATGAATCCACAAGAGGCTGCTGTGTGCGCTTTTTGAGATCTCGCATTTGCCATTCACACCTGCTGTTCTCGCGTAAGCCCACCAGAGGCCGCTGTTGACTGACTGACTGATAGACTGACCCACCATCCTCCTTCCCTAAACCCAACCAACAATTTCAAAACCAGTCAAGTAAAAGAAAAGCCCTTGTCTAATTTTTACCACATTTTTAGATTTTACCACATTCTCACCCTGTTATTAACTTGTTTATTTTATTTTTTTGGCTTCTGTTTTTGTCTTAGTTGCTTTCTGAAACCGTTCTTCACCGGACTAGAACCCAGTCATCGTGGTTAACTCCTCTCTGTGTCTCAATTCCGTCGAGCTAAAGGGACAAACTGGTTACAGCTGGAAAGCTGTCCATATGGCGGTAAGCGGTCAGCTGGTAGCACAAAAAAGAATGGCGTCATACCGCCCTGTAGCGTTCGTTTAAAAAAATAAATGCAGCCATATGTACCTCTGGCTACATAAATCGCGGTCTCCAGAAACGTATATATGCCTTGGTACAGTACGATTAAACATTTCTAATGTCAGAAATAACTATATAGACTCACTGCTAAACGCTATGGATCATTTTCACATTTCCAGGTTTCTCAGCCGATGAAGTCGTCATAGTTGGTAAACTTAAGAGCATTGAATCTGAGTATAAAAACGAATGGGATGGGGCGGTATGACGCCACCAACAACTCAAGTTCCGTTTTGTGCTACCACTGACTGATTTCCACCATATGGCAGGCGTTTAGAAAAATGTAAAAACTGATCTGGTATGATCAGTTTGCTCTGTTTGATCAGTTTGCTCAATAGCTTATCTTGTTCAGCGTCGGACTTGGGACACAGAGTGGACATAAACCAGGTAGAACCCCCCACCAAAATAAATGGCATTGTAAAATTATGGTAAAAGCATGCAGCTGTGATGCACTTTTAGTTGAGTAGGGTCTGGATGCAGACCAGGGTGCACCTGCAAGCTAAGATGAATGCAATGCTTTTAATGCGCACAACTAACCCCTTCCTAACCCTACCCCTCACAGTGACGACACTAGCTCCATTAAGTCTGAGGTCGCATGTCTGAGACTGCGTGTCTTAGCTTGCATATGCAAGTCGGATATACTATTGAAAGTTTGGATCTGAAAAAACAATTGGTTGGGTTTAGGGGGGAGGGTGGGTCTGTCAATGTGAAGTTGATATATTATGCACGACATTCTGGTTAGCTTCTCGCAGATGCCCACAAAAAGAAATGTGTAAATGGCAAGTACAATGACCAAATGTATGAGAATATGTGGCCCAATTGCATATTTGAGATTGTCAAAAATCTACACGGCGGCCTCTAGCATGCAGATATAGCCCTGGGCAGGGCACGTATCTCCACTGACCCTGGGTTGGATAAAATCTATACTTTTAATAAAACGTAAGTCGGTTTGGATAAAATTCATAAATGTAAATGAATGAGTCATGTAAACGGCCCGTAACACTGTTTTTGACAAGAATGATGACTACTGCACCTTTCTGGCATACATCATGTCTGACCGATGTAAGGGTACTGTTGGCAGTCGATATGCAAGCCTGATCAGGGTGGCCCATACTTAAGTGTACTGTACTGAACTGTACCATACTGCTCAGTGGAAATAAGCCATTACTGTCACTTATTAAATTTAATCCATCTATGAGTTAAATGAATTCTTACTGGCCCCAAACTATGTACTCATATCTGAGAAGCTCTTACCTTAAGTCTATCCAGAAATCCCTTTTTGGTGAATGTTCCTCCTGCAAAGGCACGCAACATTTTTGGAGTAGGATGTTTTTGTCCAAACAGAGCCAGGCCTTTCTTCTTTTCCTCGTCGGCTTTTGCAGCTGGAGGAGGACCCTTGGCTTTCAGCAGCTTACTATGAAAAAAATTGAGATTTTACAAAGTTTACCTCTCAAGTCTAAACTTTGCCTTTTACGATACCGATTAAAGCTGCAGTCTGTACATTTTGGGGGGTAAAAAATGAGCCGAAATTAATTTTTGCGCAGAAATGGTAAGCTTGTCATAAGGTTTTACAGTTGGAGAGGTACTGGTAGGTTTTCATTGGGGAAAAAAAAGTTCAGTCTTTGTGTCATTATGTCATATGTAGTTTGTTTCATTCGGAAATTCATTCATTCGTTTAATTCAATGTTCCAGTTTTGTGCATGAGTTTAATTTGCATCTTTGAATAGAAACATAGGGCTAATGAAGTTACAATATATGGTTCTTCGCTTGAGATAGGATTAAGAAAAGAATAGAGTGGAGGAACTATGAAGTCAATTTGTATGCAAAAACCAGGAAACGAGTTAGCATTTTAGCACTTCCGGTTCCCTCGTCCGAAAGTCAATAGGTTTTTTGAATGGGGTTTCAGTAAAATCGCTTAAGGTTCGTGGCGAACACAAACTCAAGATACTTTTTACAGTTTGTTCTACGACATAAAACTCATCAGTTAGAGCACATTCTTGAATTTTTAAATCGGTTAAGCTTCTTTAAAAAGACGGTTGCTATCAAGTTGCTAAATGGGACTACAGGCGGTGTCGGGGACATTATACGTCATCGAGCTGATCTGGTCTGGAGCGCAGCTCGCTTGTGTTGGGCATTTGCATTTGTCTGTTATTTAGGTATTTTTTTACAGTCTGTGGTATTTTCATGAATAGTATTTTATAGTTTGTTGTATTATTCTAATTGGCAATTCAGATTGTGTGTAGATAATTCCTTCACTTGTAAAGGATGTCAAGATAGATTCATTTGTTGATAATTTATTTTAATGAACAATATTATGAAGATATTGCTTACTAGTGCACCCTGTCTCTTTCCTGCTCTCAGTAATGCAAACGCGTGGATAAATGTGTAAAAATACATGCATATTAACTGTCATTTTCACCTGATCAATAGATTTTCCGTCTTTTTTTCTTCATCTAAACACATTTAACTCTGTCATAACTGCATTATTTACACTCCTCCATAAAATGAATAGCAGATGTGACTGTATGGGCTGCTTTTCGCTGTACATCGTGACAAAAAAAGAATATTGAATGTTGCTCTGGCCATGATGATGGAATTTTGATAGACTTGTTCCTCCTCATGCCTCATTTCTGTCATTTGTTAAGGTCAGCAGGCTGTGTGCACAGGAGCGATACACTTATTTAAACATGTCTTATGATAATACTATGTAGGCAGATTTATACACGCAGTTTTAAAACTTTTAGAACAATCGTAAAGCAAAACAGACGTATTTCCCACGTAAAAACGATCCAAAAGGCACATAGGTCTATGTGTTTTTGCGTATTTATTTGTTTATAATATATACCGTGGATTATAATATAATAAACAGAGAGATTAACTCTGTCATAGACATTATTTCTAATAATAAGCTAGATAAGTTGTCTGCATAGATACATACTGTATATATCTAAAAGACGAGCACCCAGAGGGCAGTGTAGTCTGTTTATAGCCCAATGTTAGCTTTTCAATTCTTGCGTTGGCATTTAAGATCCAAAAGTGTTCAAAGTTGTATTTTCGTGTGAGGATTATCCGTCTGGACAAAACGTGTAAGTGTATAGAACAGTTTTTGAACACACAGCTTATTATTTGCAATCTTCAAAAAGTCTATGGGAAAATCCTATAGGGATTTTCATGAGGGAACCAGTTTTATGCTAGCAGACGATTAGCCTACAAAGTGATGTCATAGTTCCTCCACTCTATTCAGTTCTCCTGTAGGTGCATCTACATAAAACTCACCGTCCCTTCCTGGCCAGCACTTTCTGAGACTCAGGATAGTGAATCAAGATATCATTGAGATCCTTTTTATCCAATACGAAAAGATTTGCGAATCCGTGAGCCGCTACATTAGCCGTTCTTCTGTTTCCTCCATTGGCTGAAGACTGAAGCAGACTGTGGAAGATTATAAACACATACAGTATTTTAGCTCATCTACCACATTCATGACTTTTAGCTTTAAATGCAGATGGTCGATAGTTCAACTATCATTTCCATAGTTCACCTGATCTCCCCAAACACACAGCCTGCTTTCAGAGTCACAAACACAATCTTGTTATCTGGTCCACCGATGACCTGCACTTCTCCAGCTTTGATGATGTACATTTCCTTCCCAATGTCACCCTGTGGGAACCAGGAGAGATAAAACACTGCACAAATTAGGAGTAAACATGTAAAACACAAACATGTTAATATAGAAAATTAACATTATGGCTCTTTTGGTGCTGCACGCACGTGTATTGAACAGATACATGATGTGAATATTTCATAGAGATATTAACAATAAGGTTTAATTAGTTTATGTATTCACGAACATGAACTAATTATGAATAAAGCATTTATTAATCATAGTTCAGCATTTATTAATGCATTGTAAACATCCAAATGCATGCTTGTTAACGCATTGTGAGTTAACATGAACTAAGAATGCACAACTGTATTTTCATTAACTAATCTAAACAAATACTGTAATAAATATATTGTTTATTCTTAGTTCATGTTAGTAATATTACCTTATATAACCTTATAGTAGTGTTACCGACATATCATAGCATACTGTACTTTATAATCCAATAATCGATAAAAACAACTGTCATGTTTCAAATTATCTCCATTTTATTAGGAAAGTCCAAAAATAAATGCTGTTAAATGCTTCTAGATGGGATGTGACAGATTGCTGTTGCGATACAATACACTATTGCAGTACTTAAACATAAATGAACACCTCTTATCTCCTGTAATAATAACTCAGTTGCATAAATACGCTAGTAAAACAGCATGTAAACAACTTATGTGGCTAACATTGCATTTTCCTGAGGCAAGTCATTTATTGTCATTTATTATCTAAAGAAATTAACTATATACAGTTGAAGTCAGAATTATTAGCCCCCGTTTATTTTTGCCCCTGATTTCTGTGTGACGGAGAGAAGATTTCTTCAACACATTTCTAAACATAATAGTTTTATTTACTCATTTCTAATAACTGATTTATTTTATCTTTGCCATGATGACAGTAAATAATATTTGACTAGATATTTTTTTCAAGACTTAACTTAACTAGGGTAAATCAGGTTAACTAAGCAGGTTAGGTTAATTAGGCAAGTTATTGTATAACTGGTTTGTTCTGTAGACTATCGAAAAAATGTATAGCTTAAAGGGGCTAATAATTTTGACCTGCTTTTATTCTCACCGAAAATAAAACAAATAAGACTATCTCCAGAAGAAAAAATATTATCAAACATACAGTGAAAATGTCCTTGCTCTGTTAAACATCATTTGGTAAATATTTAAAAAAATAAATAAATAAATTAAAGGGGGGCTAATAATTCTGACTTCAACTGTATGTGCACTACCATACATTAGTCTACATATTCATTATATTTCACTTATTTAACCTGTATATTTAAATACATTTGTTATGAAAACAAATTTCAAACTTTACTGTGCAAATGAACTAATTTCAACCTTAAACTAGAGCAGAAACATACATCTGAATTCAATTAAAACATTCATGTAAATGCTGCAGTTTACATGTTTATGTAAATAAAAAAATGAGTGTTGGTTATTGTGCCTAATTTTAAAAAGCAATTTCATCTAATAATGTAATTTGGTCTCTGATCTTCATTGTAGCTTATTTATAATTAAGTTGATTTGAAGACAGTAAAATAGTACAATTTTATGCTTCCCATCGGAAAACATACCACACTGTCATTTCAAATCTAAGGGTATGTACTGCCCTGCTACTTTTGAGAAACATTATACTCCTAATAACCAGCAGTTTAACTCACCTTCTTGACCACAAAATCTCCAGGCAAGTACACAATGGATTTCAATCTCAATAACATGTCCACAAGCATCTGGTTGTCACAACCCTGAGAAAAATAGGAAAATGCATAAATTATTAATTATCACTTTGTTCCTTCCAAAATGGTGAATTTAACATTGGAATACTGGAATATCACAGGAATTAATTACGAAAGCACAGTTTAAGAGCTGTACAAAAACTGAATTTACAGTATGTAGTCCTATTTCTTCAGATTTAACCAATACAGATTAAGTTTAGCTGCTTTAAGTTCACCAACATCATTGGCAGCAACAAAAACAATAACAAAAAACATTTCTATGCAGGTGAATCCCATAACTATAATATAATATTCAGGTCTCTATAATATTAAGGTCTGGGCTCTTTGAAGGCCATTTCATGGTTGTCTGTGCTTCATCATTTTTTTTTCTCAAAATATGATTTAACTGGATTGTGTTTGGCACCATTATTTAATTAAAAACAATTACCAGTGAGTTTCTTTCTAAAGGGATTTTTTTTTGTTCAACAGGAGAAAGATATTCAGTTTAGAACCACTTGAGTGTGACCAATTGTTGAGGAAATTTTAACTCAAGCTCACCTTGAAGAGTTCAATCTTTTGGAAAGTAGCGAGGTTGATGTCCACCGCGATGGCAGTTCTCATCACTAGAGGCATCTGTCCCAGCAGCTCAGACTCATCTGAGGATAAGCAAAACCTTAACAAGGAATCCTTTTTACATTTTTTTAATCAATTCAGTCGATCTTCGGGTCTGACCGGAGCTTTTTTTATTTTTAGCTTAGCATAGATCATTGAATCAGATTAGACCATTAGCATATTGATTTAAAATGAGCAAAGAATTTGCTGCAGCAGACATTATGATTGCATAAAAAATAGTCCTCAATCATAAGTTGGTAACTAGGTAACAGCACTGCGTAATAATCTGATTCAATGATCTATGGAAAGTTAAGATAATAGTGTTCCCACCAGACTGGGAGATCGGCTGAATGGTTTATAAAATGGTAAAACACAACTGTTTAACTCTAGGGGACTTGTAAATTTCCCCCAAAAAAGTGTAGTGTTCCTTTAATGGTACTCAGATCATGTAAACTTACCCAACATGCCCTGGGAGTCCCAGGTGTAGTTGTACCAGGTGCGCACTCTACTTTGAACCATCTTAGGGATGTGGTTGGTCACCATATACGCCACACAAGCATCCATAGATGCACGGAAGTAGGTCTGACCGGCAGTAGCAGCGCCAATGACATCTCGCATCTGTAAAATCAAAGTTAACGTCTATCACCCTGACAGGAATAAACCATTTTCCAGGACATTATCTACCAAATTAATGGCTATTTTTGTTATTTGATTGGCTGAAAAATTAATAATCATAACTATTTGTTTACATTTATATAGCACTTTTCTCAGCTCTCAAAGAGGTGACATTTCCTCAACCACCACCAGTGGGCAATATTAAAAATCTATACGTTTTTTATGTAAATAAATTCAAATCAGAACACTAATTTGAAAAGTTGCATGCAAATTTAGGCATCGGAGCATTATAATTAGCAGTAAAAATATAAATTCTAATTAATTAATAATATTTCCAAGGATAATAATTTATTAAAGATTACATATAAAAGTGTAAGTGTTTTCGCAAAAATAATACAGTTCTAAATTAAGATGCACAATGCAATATCCAACTTATTAATGTTATATTAATAATACACAATACAATATATAATAATAATAAACTATTTTAATATTGTGTGCATCTTAACATCAGGTTAAGATGTATCACATTCTAGTAGAGTAGTGGAGTTTGGCTGCTCTACATCATCTCATGATGTACCTGTCCAATCAAACTTGAGAAGACAAAGACACCAACGAAAAAGTTTGTTAACTGAAAGCTGATCTCAAAGATCGTATGCGGCTCAGGCAGACCACCGATGTTGATAAGAGTCCGCACGGCAAAATAGTAACTGTGCAAATACCTGCAAAAGAGAAAGAAAACGAGTGGTATGAAAACATCTGACACTGATATCTGAAACTCTGTTAAAGATTCAGACATACTGCCACGTCCAAACAGCAGACACCAAACCACTGAGCACATCCAAGGCCAAGCGAGAAAGCAGACGGAAAAAAGCAGGCCAGGCTCTTTGAAATGCATGGCTCAGCCTACAGTTTTTCATACTTTGCTCTGAGTACATTTTATTGCTTGTTTCAGATGGCAAATCCACTAGAGAGTGCGCTCTACATTTTTGCATTACTTAGGACACGTTTTGTTATATGGTTCAGATACATGTTCTTCTTGCACTCGTCAATAGGAAGGTGGGCTTGTCGTACAGGTCAACCTGTGCACCACTAATCTAAATTCTTTCCTAAAACCTGCCAATAGTGTTTTCAAAAGCAAATGAAAGAACAAAGTGCAATGCGAGCATGTAGTTTTACCTTGACTTTACATTGCTTTTTATCTGTTTTGTTAAACCGTGCTTCACTGGATTTGAACTATTACATTAGTACAATACCTTACAGTGTAAGCTATCAAGCAAACTGACCACACTAAAAAAGTTGGGATAAATAGGTGAGCCAAACAAATTAAATTACAAATTAAAGACACTGATAAGTTGTTTTTTGGTATTTAATTAGTGTTGTGCAAAGAACTGCATGAAAATAATGCTTTATTCATTAATATGTCCCTGTAAATATCATTAGTGTGAAAAGGAACAAAAGTTGTCCGGGTCATGCTGCATGTAGGGTTAATTTTACCTAGAAACTAGGGCAGCACGATTTGAAGAAGAAATCTAATTGTGATGTATCTGATCAAAATTGTGACTTGCGATTAAAAATGTGATTTACTACCATTTCATGAAAGAGCAACAAGTTTGGTGTGGCGGAGCACGAAAGAAAGGTCAAGCATGATCACAAAGTATATTTAAAACCTCTTGAAAATTGCTGCCGTTTTTTCCAATAAAGATAAATTCAATTCAATGAATATATATATATATAAAAAACACACACATACACATACACACACACACACGCATATATATATATATATATATTTATATATATATATATATATATATATATATATATATATATATATATGTGTGTGTGTGTGTGTGTGTATATGTGTGTGTATATATATAAATAATTGCAGCCTTTTTGATTTTAAAAGGGTGAAAACGCAATTTTGGTTTAAAAATAAATGATGTCAGCCTACTAGAAAATGCAGTCAATCGTATGTTTTTTTTAATTTTTTTAATTTTTTTACATTTTTGCGGTTTTACAAAAATGTAGGCTGAAACATATTTCAAATGAGCCTTGGAAAAAAAGAGAGCCTCAAAACCAAACCAAAAAACATAAAGTGCTTTAGAAGCGTAAGCTTTAGAGACAAAAAAAAAACAGCTTTGGAGACAAAATGTCTACCTGGGCAAGAATGATGGATAAAAATAAGGCACCAACAAAATAGTTGGTCATCTGAAAGATCTGACCGAACATGGTCTCGGGGAAAGGAAGTTCTGCGATCATCAGGAGGGATTTTTCCGCATAGAAAAAACAGCTCAGGTAGCTATGAGAATATGAAAAAAAAAAACAAGGCAATTTTTGTTGTGAATGGAAAATGTAATAAATACAGTTGATGTCAGAATTATTAAAACAAATTCACAAATGATGCTCAAGAGAGCAAGGATTTTTTTTTTACAGTATTTTCTATAATATTTTTTCTTCTGGAGAAAGTCTTATTTGTTTTATTTCGGCTAGAATAAATTTTACAATTTTTAAAAAAACATTTTAAGTTCAATATTATTAACCTCCTTAAGCAATTTTTCCACCGATTGTCTACAGAACAAACCATCATTATACAAAAACTTGCCTGATTAACCTAGTTAAGCCTTTAAATGTCACTTTAAGCTGAATACTAGCATCTTGAAAAATATCCAGTCAAATAATATGTACTGTCATCATGGCAAAGATAAAAGAAATCAGTTGTTTTAAATCAATTATTGAAACTATTATGTTTAGAAATGTGTGAAAAAAAAAAATCTTTCCCTTAAACAGAAGTTAAAGAAAAAAATATACAGGGGGGCTAATAATTCAGGAGGACTTTATCTTTACAAGAAAAAAAGAACATTTTAGGTGCATTTAAAGGTAAAGTGTGTTTTGTTTTTGTTTTCATAGGTAAAGTGTGCTTTACATACGCGCTGCCCTTTCCACTATAAACCCATTTGGTGGAGCCGATGCCCTGGGAGACTGATGCCACGTAGTAAAGACAAGCGTTGAGGTGGAGAATAAACAGCAGGTATCCAATAGTGCGAATCACTCTATAAACAAAGCAAAGGAGAATTAGTGTTACAGTAATTTGTACTGATTTCTGTGGAATTC